TGCGGTTTGTGTCCCAGTTATGGAGATTCACCTTCTCTATGTGTCCTGGTAAATATCGTCACTAACTGTGAAAGAAAATCCCAAATTTTGGGTTGTCACCAGAACAGGACTTGATAGGAAATCTTCCAATGGGGACATTATTTCTGGTGACCCTGCCGACCACCAGGGATTTCCCTCACTTCCTGTTGTGGCTATTGGACAGGAAGTGAAGGAAAATCTTCCCAATGGGACACCGAGAGAAAACAAATAAAAGTTAAAATGGGAATACAACTCTCCCTTACTCTAGCCAAAACTAAAAAAAAAGTTTTGCTTCAGTTCTACTTTAAGACTGATTATTACTATGCGTTTCCACAATCAAAAAATATTTGGGGATGTCTATTGTAATTTGTTTATATTTGCATCCACTTTCAGGTATCAGGAGAAAAGAAATGACACCTTGGACTTGTTTAAATGCAGAAATTTAATCAAATAAGCGTATTATACATTACAGAAATTTTGCATATTTGTATGTTTGAGAAAAAAAAAAGAAGTTTGTGTCGTTAAAAATTGAGCTTTCACAGGATCTGAATATGGATGGTTGCAGTTACATTGTAAAATGCCGCGTGTAATCATATTCTATTGTAGGAATCACTGCCTGTACAAATTTTAGAAAAATAAGCAGGTACCTGAGGATTCATGGTTAAGGAAATAGTAGGTATAGACTCTATGCACAGTCATTGCTACCTCCCAGTCAATGTTTTTTTTTAAAGATTCGTTATTTAGGCCTTCCTACTACAAAATAATTTTGGAGGGGGAGACCGATCTGCAAAGGGTCATGAATGTAATTTGAGCTCTGCAAGCAGGTACTCCAGTCTATTCTTTAGGATAGTTGGAAAACATTCCCTTTCATGATTGTTTAGGTTTATTATTTGAATTATCTGGCGGGAATGTGACATCATACTGATGCCATAGGAAGTTGGGGGCAATTCTTTACAGTTTTTCTATTTGGTGATTAGGTTTTTCCTGTATAAAGTGTAGCTGGGAGTTATAGTCCTCTATAGCTGGTGCCATTCTGCATTTATATATAAAGTGTAGCTGGGAGTTGTAGTCCTCTATCCAAAAATGCAGAATGGTACCAGTTATAGAGGACTACAACTCCCAGCTACACTTTATATATAAATGCAGAATGATAACAGCTATAGAGGACTACAACCCTCAGCAACACTTTATAACTGGTACCGTTCTGCATTTTTGGATAAAGTGTTGCTGAGAGTTGTAATCCTCTATAGCCGTTATTCTGCATTTATATATAAAGTGAAGCTGGAAGTTGTAGTCCCCTATAACTGGTGCCATTCTGGCATTTCTGGATACATCTTCCCTTATGTTTACATTGCTTTATGGTAATATTGTAAAAGTTATTTATTTTTGTAACTTTATTCTGAATAAAACATTTAAATATGTAATTTCATAGGATAATTTAAGAGGGCGTGTTTAGGGGCGGAGTTAAGCCCGGGGCAGGCTAGGGGTTAGGTGCGGCAACTGGTGGCGAGTAACTTTTAACGCCTGTAGAGCTGCAGCTAACGATTATTTTCAAAATCGGTTAGCCGATTATTAAGTTCGATTAATCGGTTACATTTTTTTTTTTAGGCTTTCCTGAGCAGTCTTCCAGCAACTTGTTTCTGAGATCGGGCCTGTCTATTGGCGGCTGTCATCCGCCCACACCTCCTCCTCCTTAGGAGGTGCGGCGTGTGGATGTGGGCGGATCTGGCAGCGGCGAGCATGAGGAGGTGTGGCGCGCAGCGTGTGTGGAGCCGTGAACAGGGCCAACCAATCGGAAGCCGATTAATCGATTATTGAAAAAGTTGTCAACTTTTTCAATCATCGATTATGTCGATTAGTTGTTGCAGCCCTAAACGCCTGGCTAGTAGCTGAAGACTTGAAATGTTGAGCCCTGCTGTATGTTATATTAGTCCTGTACAATTGTTAGCATTTAGGTTTACTTCAACATTTGAGGACACTCACATTGTAACTGGTAATCAGACAGAGGACATACATTTTATCTCAGTATTACAATGGGCTTTTTTCAGCCTGGTAGTCTTGTCACTGTCCCTAAGGAGAACTATGGGGAAAAACACTGACCCCATAGTTCTCCTTTAAGTCAATCAAGTCATCAATGACTGATCTAATGTAAACAAACAGACTCTAATGTATACGTTTTAATGCAGAACACAAGCTAGATACTGTAGGTTATCATCTGAAGGTTGTCACGTAGGTTATAAATATCCACCTATTTGTTCACTGCGCACACACACACAAAAAAAAAAACTGGTACGAGGAATTATTAATATTATATACATACATACATACACACACACACACTTATTAAAAACACATATACATACACATATCTATATCTCACAAGTTCCAAATAGAAGAAAGGATACATGTGAACTCCTAGCTCTCCTCCACCTTCTGCGACTGTTTCAATTATTTTTTTCATTACCTCCGCATGTCTGAAAGTTAAAAAACCCCCAAAAAAACAGTTTAACATTAGTGTATTTATGTTGATGACAATACAACTATGACTATACCGTTTGTCTGTATATGCATGTAATATAATACATCATTTTAGAACACTGCATTTCATTTGGCCTGTGGCATGCAAGGTTTTCAGAGCATTCTGAAATGGCCCAACATTAAAGTTTATTTGTACGAAGATATACCACCCATTACCTGCAGACCTCCGCTGATATCTTTACTATTGCCTCCCCTGTGCACTGGAAGTCCCAAGTAGTTCTACATGAAATTCACCTTTCCAGTAAGATCATATCCCACAGTACAACATGGGAAGCTCTCAATTTGCTGCATTGTGGGATGTGGGGTCTTCTGAAAACCCAAAAGCTGTTTGTAATGATTTGAGTCTCCCATGGCACAGAAAAGGGATTGTGAAGTTAGCAGCTAGGGTCTGCCAGCGGAACATATACGTGTGTATTATCTCATCACAGGTGACAGCAAAGAATGTCTGGAGCTGCAAGGATGAGAGGCTGCAGCCTGAACTGTGAAGGATTGCACTGTGTGCCCTCCTCTTTCTCTCCCCTAGTCCATTCACAAACGTCTCTATTATTTTTACAGAATGTAAGGAATTCTGTGAATGGAGGAGGGAGAGGCATTGTGTGAATGGACAAAGAGTCCATTCACAAAATGAAGAGACGTTTAAATGGACAGTGGGAGGCTTTCACAGTTGCAGCTCTTAACCCTTGCAAGGTCAGAAGATAACCACTGTGGGGAGTATCTGGCATCAGTGGAAGGAGGATTTTTACAGTAACCAGCAGAACATGGCATACACGTTATATTAGATCATTTATGCGACTGGTGCTGTGTGACCAAAAATGGATTTACTTGATACTGTACTAGGGCAGTTCCTTAGACGTTCCCAGCAATATACTGTAGAAGAAACAGGACAACACTAATAACATCAAGTCACGTTTTAACACATGATAGTTTAATAAGAAGTTTGAACTTGTTAACAAATCAAAATATAAAAGACTAGGGGCATATTTATAAGTCAGTCAATGTAACTCACCAAACATTCACTGCAGGTGAGATGACCACAACCAGGGCTCAAAATTTCCACTCGCCCCCTCGCAAATTGCGAGTGAAAATTGCGTGGGGGCGAGTGGAAATTAAGCCATTGAGTCAGTAAAACACTTTTACCATACTTACAGCCATTATCCCACTAGAGACTGACACACTACAAGAAATAAATACCTGCATGGGTGTACAGAGCACATTGGTGGAGGTGGGAGGTTAGGGTGGTTCTCAATGGTCACAGTTTTCTTCACATGGTCTTGGCTAATGTCTTCATACATGTTTTCTACGGTCAATGGCTTACGTTGCTATTAACACAAATAATAATGAATGTGTTTAAGAATTACAGAGGATAAAACTAAAAGGGTAAAATAAAAACAGAACCTAAATAAAAATGCAAGAAACAATTATGTAATGGTATTTCAAAAGGTCACTCCAAGAGCTGAAATGGGTGCATTAGCTATATGCAAAGCCTGCGATGGCGAAGTCTGATAACTGCACCTTAAAATCATACCGTGAAGTCCATATGGCTAGATGTGAAGAATGCAGTACTCAGTGATCCACTCAGACACCTTGCATAATAAATCCCATAGAGCTTCTAGAAATGTAAAAGGATGTCAATAATAAAATGTTGCACTAACGTAGGATGCGGTCATTCTCAGACTGTGCCTTTTGATGCTTCAATGGATGAGAGTACTTGGAATTGCTCCATTTGTCCAAACGCTATTAAAACTACTGCACTTTAGTGACATTCAGTTGTGGTCAATGCTGAGCTCCAATAGATGAACCTGCTGAACTTGGGACCCTGCTTAAAGGACTGAGATTGAATCATTACCATACTTTAACCCACTGATGGGTCAGAGGGTTTGTTCGGATTAATGCAATGTTTACTTAGACTGTTAAAAGTCTTCATATATGAATGCAACATCGTGGCACTTATTGTGGGGGACTTTAGAGAGCTTTATTATCCATATTGGAGTAATATACTCCATACACCTAGTCATATGGACGAGACATTAGGATGGGCAGTGTAATGTGAGCTTGTTCTCAGACTTAGCCATCAAAAAGGTTAATTATAGTGAACTTATTCCAGGTTTAAAATAGGGCCTCACACACACACACACACACACACACACACACACACACCTTGAAGTATGCTTTATAAGATCCCCTAAATCCCTGTGTAATATCTGGCCAAATGGAAGCATTCAACTCTCTGTCATACCAGAAGAATATTATTTTATCGTGTTACCTATTGTGAAATGCCTGAGGAAGGAACCCAACATGTTCCAAAGGCTTGCATCTTTTATTACCTAAAAGAAGAAGTGTGGGGACAGTAAAACATACTGTCCACGCAGCTTAGAGCTGGCTTGGGATACTGAAGCTGTCCCCCCGCCAGCTATATACGAAGATCGCCCAGCACTATAACCACGTATCGCTCACCTCTCGGTCTCGTCTTCCTGCGGAGGGATCCCCACTGGATTTCCCCCTCCTCCCTGTTCCTCAAGCACTCATTGGAGGGGCAGACATGGGAGGGGGTGGGCACTGTGGTCTCTGGATCTAGAAAGGCAGATCCAGCAGCCACTAAAGTTGACCATACACTGAGCGAATTTGCTTCATTGGTTGCCCTTACTACTGCCTTCCGCCCGACATAGTTCATCTAACAAAATCACAGAAGCTGGGCGGACAATTGTTGGCCACACAGTACCTGCATCTAAATCAGATGCGGACTGTCAAAATACAATAGCCACAGTGGGAGATTCCTCCATCCATGCTGATTTTTTTTCCCATTCAGCTCACAGACTTAACAAAAACAAACAAACAATCTATAGCCCAGTCTTAGGCAGCTGAGGTGAATCCCAACGATACTGTCGGGATCCTTCCTGGCTGCTACGCGGCTCTGCTTTGTCAGTCAGTAATATGCATAGCCTGCTATCCGCTGACTTTGGGTCACAGGAGTACATTGGTGACCCAAAAGAGAAGAAAAGCCAAAGGAATTTGTCTTTAATTCTCTTGTAAGTTAGCAAATAAAGGTGATTTTTATCACTACAAATTCCAAACTTTCTACATGTTTTTCCTTTCTGCAAGAGAAAAAAAACAAACAAAAAACAAACAAACATCCTCATGGTTTTCTACCATCAGGAAATCACTAAACTACATTTCCCAGAATTCACTTATTATCAATTGAACTATACAAAATATATTGCAGTTTTTATACATACAATCATTCATCTTAGGCTGAAATGAAACGAATGCTGTTGCGTTACCATAAGGATATTTGGAAAGACAAATCATAAGACAAAAGAGTTGTAATCCAGAGGTCATTAGTTTAAGTCCTGCTTAAGATCTATGCGCAATGATTTCATAAACAGTTACAACAAGTCCTATGTGTATAGTGGTCAATCCTAAAACAGGAAGGGTTTAGATGCATATACATGGGGCAGCTCTGTTGTAACCAGGTAAACGAAGAATCTTCACGTATACTTCAATAATTGACAAAAGTGGAGGGAAGAGATTCTTGGCTGAGCAACACCATACTAGAAGAAGACTTCTTCTGGGTTTACTGGTTTTCCGCTAAATGTTTTTAGGTGCAGTGAACCAAATTTTAGATGACACTCGGCAAGTGCAGGTTTTTCTCCTTAGTGCTGTGATTTCACAATGACAATGATTAAAAAAAAGGTAGTAAAGTGTATGTTTGGTTTTCTTAAACCATCTGAAAGCATGAATGGGACCTACCTTTATGCTCAGCATTGGGGGTTATTAATCAAGGATTTTTTCGAAAAAAATCGAGCATTGGGGGTTATTAATCAAGGATTTTTTTGAATGGGACCTACCTTTATGCTGAGCAAAACAATTCATGCTTTCAGATGGTTTAAGAAAACCAAACATACACTTTACTACCTTTTTTTTAATGGGAACAGAAAGTGTAGGTATTCCCCAAAGCAAGCAAACTTATTTCAGGTGCCATCCATTTTCTAGATTTCATCATTCCCTATGCTCAGGGGTGACCATTCATGCTCAGCATAAAGGTAGGTCCCATTCATGCTTTCAGATGGTTTAAGAAAACCAAACATACACTTTACTACCTTTTTTTTAATGGGAACAGAAAGTGTAGGTATTCCCCAAAGCAAGCAAACTTATTTCAGGTGCCATCCATTTTCTAGATTTCATCATTCCCTATGCTCAGGGGTGACCATTCATGCTCAGCATAAAGGTAGGTCCCATTCATGCTTTCAGATGGTTTAAGAAAACCAAACATACACTTTACTACCTTTTTTTTAATGGGAACAGAATACGCTCTGGCCGCTGTCCTGCCCAGCTGACATCACTGGTTGCCAGGAGATGGGCCGGACGACAACCAGAGCGTCCCAGGTTGCCAAGAGCTGGGTGGGGAGATGTCTATGGCCCTTACACATCTGCCGCCTCCCCTATGACCCAAGGCTAGCTCATTATATGGATGGCCCTGCCTCTGCCCCCCTACAAGATAACAAGATAACATGATGTACAAGATAACACTTTGACATTTTGATTTTAACATTCAATTTTGGAATGACTGGTGTACAATTTTAAATAACATTTGTCAAGTGTCTGATGGTATTATAAAAAGGTTCCGACGAGATTTCTCATATGAACATTTGCTCGAAAATCTATCAGAGTATGACCAGCTTTAGTCTGGTTTAGCTTGCACTGTGATTCCAACACCACAAGTGGAGTAGGAAGGATGGATGAAAGGACGGTGATGGGAGGGTGAAAGATTAAACCTTCTTAGGAGCACTTTAGTCTTGAGAACAAAGCGGTTGAAAAGGGAGGTACGCAAAACTGTAAATAAGCAACTTATGCTAAAAATCTAGAGAATGGCTACACACGTATGTTGTGGTAACGTCTGATCTGCAGTTTGTGCGCGGTGTTGGTGTGTGTTGCAATAAAATTATGCAGGCATACACATTTAAATGCAATGCAGCGTATTACAACACACAGCAATGCGTTGCAAGGCTTTGCCATGTGCTGCCACGCAGTGAAATTAAATGTTATATTTAAAAGGAAAAAAAAAAGAAAAACCTCAAGTACTGCTGTGTTCTAATGACGTAGCGCATATTCTTAAAACCTTTTTTTTATTTTTTACAATACCGTCAGGGGGCTTTGGGGTAATATCAGCGGTCTAAACAAACAGACCACTCTAGTGTTTGCTCATAAACTGGGGAGATAGTGAACATTTACTATCTCCCCAGTTATGAAAAGACAGGAAGCCTCTGTACTGAGCACCTCCTGTCCATTCATAAAAGGAGATAATACATGTTTACTATGTTCCCAGTCATGAATGAACAGGAAGTGATGTGTAGCACTTCCTGTTCATTCATATCTGGGGACATAGTTTACTATCTCCTCAGTTTATGAACAAACACTGGAGTGATCAGTACTGACTGTTCTTTACAAAGAACAGTCAGGGGGACGGACCCTTGTGTTATAAGCTTATGGTCGCAGAAGAGACAATGATCTTATAGCAGAAAGGTGAATGCATACTGAGCTTGCCAGCTGGGAACCTTTTTGTTACACCATATGCCTTATGTCAGTGGCAGAAAGGGTTAAACATAGACATCGTATGCAAATCAAACAGCCACTGTTTAAGCCCATTGTATGGATTTTCCAGAAGGTAGCTGCCATATTTCCCCAAGACATACCTCATCGTAGCCGAATAACCAAAGTCTTGGCGTTTGATAATACTTGTCATATGTGATGTAAAGGTCATAAGTTCTAGTCTGTAAGATTGCATCATCACCCCCAACATCAGCTTTTGGTTTGCATGCTTCTGCAATTTTTGCGGTGTCCACAGTTGCCTTGTTGAGAAGTAAAAAAAGAAGAAGAAGAAGAAGAAGAAGTCAAGTCCTCCTTTGCAATGAAGATAAAACAAACGCATTCATTTTCGAAAAAATCCTTGATTAATAACCCCCAATTCCAAAGCAATCATTTTCACTTCATTTCTCTCTATAGTCCCATAGCAACATTTAAACTAGAACTCAAGCCAATCTAATGAGAATAGGGAAGGATTAGAGTCTCTGTCAGGTGATTCTAATCCTTCCCTTGACCATGGTGAATGGAAAAAGAACCTTGGCACTCCAGCTGTGCCAAAACTACAAATCCCAACATGCGTCTGCCTCTGGGAGTTATTTCTGTGGCGATCAGAGCCTTGCAATGCCTCATGGGACTTGTAGTTCCAAAACAGCTGGAGTGCCAAGGTTCGCCACCACTGATCTAGACCTTCCTATGCCTCCGTATTTCATTATAATTTGTATAGAGTTCCCCTTTACCTTGTCTGTTGGTTCATTAATGCTGCTACTTAGTTACCCTTGAGGATCCCAATCATGAGATCTGTTACCAGGCAAACATGTGAAGCCCTAGTTTTCTGGTTATACAACATGCTTGTCAGTAATGTTGCCCAGTAAGAGAGGGAGGCCTTGGAACCCAAGACAAAGTCTGCCACTTCTACAACTGTTCTGCGTTAATAAAATTCTAGTAAAGCACAGAACTTTTTGGGCCCCCAGGAAGTATTTGCCATAATGCGTTAGCATGCACAGCATGTTAGCACATTATGGGTGACTTAACTTTCAGGTGATCCCCTCCATGTCAGCACTCTCCACCGCTGCCTTCCTACTGGTTAGGCGTCTTCAGACAGTTAATTGGCTGGGCCAAGATGATGCAAAGCCCATGCATGCGCTCGGAAGTTACTTCATTTCAGCACAGGACTTTGCCAAGCTTGTGTACTGATCTGCGCATGCGTGGGTCATTGCACACAAACACTGACAGACAAGGAGCAGCAATTATGACAGAAGAGATATACAGAGCCTCTTCGGTCATAAAACCTTACCTGTCAGCATTTTCGGATTTTAAGCTTTACCTACGCATTAAGAGTATTGTCATGGAGAATATGTTTACTCAGACAAATTTTACTTATGTGTATTTATCATGGATCCTTAGTGTCACCTGCTCAGTGCAAAATAAACATAAAACTACAGCATGTCATAAAATGGCTTTCACTAAAATGCCACATAAAAACGTACCGCTTACTATATATAAGTATTTGTTTACAAAATGTCTTTAAAAAAATATAAAAATTTAAGGCTTACATCATCATTTTCCAGCAATCCGCTGTCTTCATACTCTGGAAAAAGAAAGTAAGTCATAAATTTGGTATACAAATGTCCAGGGTGTCCGTCCGTTGGTCAACCTATACAATTTTATAATCTTTAAAATCCGTTTCATACATTTATCTAAAGCTGTGCATTTCTATCAGACAAAAAAAAAATACAATGCGATGTTTATCATTCTAGTTATATGATAGGTTAAAGAATTGGTGTTCTAAAAAGAAACTGAAGTGGGGAAGCCAAAAAGGGAGGCAGAAGGCAAAGAACCAGTCACAAGCAGTGCCTGTGTGTCTTTTCACCGTGAACGAATTACCATACCTTGTTTTCCACTATATTTCTCTCACAGTAACAAATAAGTCCAAGAGCGATCAGGGGGAGTGGGGTTCTCCAGAGAATGGAGTCTAAAAGGTGCCCATACACTGCACGATTCTCACAGGAAAATCATGAGATCGTACGAGAATCGTGCAGTGTGAATGAAGACGTGCGACCGTTTCTACTGTACGGTCGCACGTCTTTTGTCTAAGGAGCATGCTAGAAAACCAGCCGAAAATCTTACGATTTTCTGCTGGTTTGAACGATGCTCGGGAGACAAATGCCGAACGGGCCGGTGTGCGCACACTGCCCGTTCAGCATTGCAGTCATCGGAAGCCCACCCCTCAGGGGGGCGGGCTTGCGATGATCGCAAGTATGATCTGCGTGGCCAAGATGGGCAGATCGTACGTTTTTTAAATTACTTTACAACCATCGCAAGACTAAGGTCTTGCAATGGTTGTACAGTGTATGGCCACCTTAAGGGCCAGCCAGTAATCTGCTAGGGATCCCATCATGGACATTTGGGCTTTGCTGTGTGCTTACCCGGGTTCACCCTGCTCGAGGTGTGGAGACTACCTATATACACAGGACAAGGAGAAAGCGGAAGTTTTCAGGCAGCACTATTGAAGATGGCAACAGAGAATACAGAGGTCCAGAAGACAGTCCAAAAGGCCAGGGCAGGCGGCAAACAAGCAAAACCAGGAGGAGAAGGTACACAAAAGATCAGTCTAAGGAAAAAGCAGGTCAGTAATGAAAGCACAGGCAGGGGCTCATAGGTAAATGGAACGCTGCTCAGGCAATAAAAGCTGCTCTGAGCAGGAGTTAAATATTGAGAGAGATTAGGAGGCTGGGTAGAAAGTGGTCTAGATGCAACATATATTAATCATAAAGTGAGGCAAGCAATGCCCATAGCTGCCAGCTCTGTGCCACAAGGAAGGTAGAACAGAGAACATGCTTGTAGAACCACAGGTACCAGCAGAAGCACAGCAACGAGGAAAGAGCAACCCACAAGCCTGTGAAACCACATAAAACAGATCATGTGTGACAAGCTCTGTGTGGAGGCAGGACTTTGCATACTCATATTATAGCCTCCATAAAGAACAACAGTGAGCAGAAAAGTAGTGACAACAAATCTCACTCCTGATCTTACGAGGTAGCTAGGAATAAGAAAGAGCAGAACCTTTATGTGTCATTAAATGATCCTGTGAAAAAGACATCCAAGTCCAAACAAATGTTCACAACCATTGCTTTTGTTTTAAATCTGCCAATAATTTTAAATTACCCTTTTTATTCCTGTACCTTTTCCTCCTGTGAGCTCCTCACTTCACCTGTATTACAACAATTTCTGGCAAAAGTGTGCGAGCAGCCCACATACGGCAAATTGCGGTCACATGCACTGCTTTATTTAAACTACAAATGCCTCAGTGTATTAATTAATTCATGCTGGTACCTCCCTGGTATAATTGTAGTCCATGTCAGGAGTGCGCAGGAGGGTGGCCCACACAGTGGACCATGTAGAGTAAATGTAGCCACCCTCAGAAAGGAAGTTGCACCTAAGGAGATTTTAAAAGGATGGCTGTCTGACGTCGATATTACAAGCGCCACAGCTGAAGAGCTATGAAGGTACTGACCATGATTTTTTTACTTTGGGTTTAGTAACACTTTAATCTCACCCTGCAGATATACAGCAATGAGGCTGTAGGTACAGGGTTGCCTAGGCACCCTTACATACCAGGAAGTGCGCCTCATTTTTTCAGGAGGAATTCCAGTGGTATAACAAAAGTCCTTTAGAGAAGAAACCAGGTAGCCCGTCTTACAAATTCACATTCAGTATATGAACTTTGTGACAGATGGGAAACTAAATTAAGTCAGTATAGCGAGCATGCAACTCCATGTCAAAGGGAAATCTCAATGACAAAAGGCAGACTGATCAGATTTACAGATCATAATTGATTATTATAGACAAACCGGTATATATTTTTGGTAAAGCTGCATAACCAACACATTTCAGGACAGTTAGAGTGTCAGCATCATCAAAGCTGTTTTATTGGAACATTAATTCCCGAGGCAAGTAAAAGTACTCAAAAATAGTCTTTAGTGTTATCTGTTACCTATACAAAAAGACTTTCTTATTCTAAAGGTTTGGAACATGAAAATGTCTGTTTGTTAGCAGTAGTAAAAAGCAAATCCTTTCTGAAACCTGTTACATTTACAAACAGACTTTCTGATTATAAAGATGGACTTTGAATACTAAAGATCCAATATGAACAATATATTTGTGATCAAGATTGCTTTTCTTGCCTTTCGTCACTTAAGCTGGCTATACATGCTTCGAGTCTTGAAATCAAAATCCATCAATTCCCCAATTCACACTAAACAGCATGGATGGAGAAATCCCTGCTGCCGGCTACTGTATTTAGCAGCCTCTTCTCCAGCAGCTGCTGAACCCCCGAATAGCGTGTGCATCTGATTGGCTGTAGGGGCTGTTGATCCGAGAATTTTCGGACTGGCACCTTTGACAAAAGTCGACTGAAAAAAAAAAAAATCAACTTTTGTTGAGCAGGGAGTGCCAAAACAAGCACTTCCGGTTAAAATTTCTGGCAGTAGATAGCCAGTTTACGGTTCACCTCTCTGACATGGAATTGAGCACTTGCTATATTGGGGTCCATTAGATTAAAAAAGGTGCAGCTAATGCACAATATTTCACTAGCGAGTGATGCATTGCGTGATATCAGAATTATGGTTCTTATTCCCAAGAAAACATAATAAGGGGTAGGTATGGAGAACCTTCATGATTCCATTTTTCCTCTCTAACTGAAGAAAAGAAAAAGGAGTAGAAAAACAGGTATACACTCAGTATATGAATGGGGGGTGATTATAGAAAGAGAATATTGTTTCCCTCGATATCTTTTTTCCACTATTTTATGCTCGCTCTATGCTGACACATGTATTCTGTACAAACAGCAAAAAAGCAAAATATTTAAATAGGGTTATTTAACCATCATAAAACTGCCTCACAGGCAACAAATCCTTCCTTTTAATTTATTGATACCAATGGTGGGCATGAAAACACAATTTCCGACACCTGCCATGCATTTCAAATTAGTAGTGCAGAGTTACAACACTTGCCCTATCAGGCTCTGTGTGGGTAGACACCAATCTAGAGAGCCATTACACTGTATGTAAGTGCATTCCTCTTCTGTAAGAGCACAGTAAGGAATCACTCTAAACATACCTCCATGACAGTCTACTATCTCTAAGGCTCAATACTCTAGAATGCTAATTACTCAACTTGTTTAGACACTGCCTGACCACGTTCCTCTTTATAAATGAAAAGTTGAAAAATGCACATGTCACAACCCCCCGTGAAGGGTCAGTGTGTTCCCAAATGTGTACTTCAGTGTGGGGCGAAAGCCAGAAGGTTAACTCAGCTATTAACGTATTTATCGGAGTAGATAAAAACCTGCTACTACAATCCCAATAAAAAGTAAACTAGTTCATGCTCGTCTTTCTGTAATTTTGTATTGTATTGTATTGTATTGGTTTCTCAGTGTTTGCTGACGATACCAAAATTGGGAGGGTAATAGAAACAGACCAAGATAGTGTAACATTGCAGGAGGACCCGGATAAAATAGGGGAGTGGGCAACTATGTGGCAGATGAGGTTTAATGTCGATAAATGCAAAGTTATGCACTTTGGGAGGAATAATAGGCAAATGGGTTATACAATTATGGGTATGCCGCTAGGGAAGTGGGAAATGGAGAAAGATTTGGGGGTCATTGTAGACCACAAACTGAATAATAAATTATAGTGCCAGGTTGCTGTAAGCAAAGCTAGTAGAATCTTGCATCAAGAAGGGAATATTTTGCAGGGATAGGTCTATAATTATGCCACGTTACACATCAATGGTTCAGCCCCACCTGGAGTATGCGGTGCAGTTTTGGGCACCGGTCCACAGAAAGGATGTCCTTGAACTGGAGAAAGTCCAGCGGAGGGCGACCAAACTCATAAAGGGGATGGCGGACCAGAGCTATGAGACACGGCTACTAAATTTAAACATGTTTACGTTGGAAGTAAGGAGATTAAGGGGGGACATGATTTTCATGTACAAAATGTCCCATAGTCATAGCAACAAACTCTTTGAGATTATTTCAGTAACAAAGACTAGAGAACAAATTCGAACACAAGGGGCGAAGGGGGTTCTTCTCAGTTCGTGCGGTTAGGGTCTGGAACTCACTGCCTCAAGCGGTAATTTCCGCAATTAATCTGGAATCATTCAAGAAGCTTTTGGACGACTTCCTGAGAGACCGAAATGCACAAGGGTACAGGTACTCTTAAGAATGAGAACACTCATGGACCTATACACACACACACACACACACACACACACACACACACAAACAGGTTGGACTTGATGGACTTATGTCTTTATTCAACCTCAAATAATATGTAACTATGTATTCAATTTAGAGATTTGTATATTAGACATCAGAGGAAGACTATATAAGATACTACATTGATTCTGCCATACCACTGAACAGCTGCTTGAGATCAGATATCAGGCACACAGGGGGTGCATGGCTTTAACATTGGTTGGCTGACTCAGAATTAGGTCAGTCATTTAGTAAAGTTTGCTATAAGAAGGTTTATCCCGCAGCTGTCTAAGTAACTAATGTACTAACTATGTGTGAAATATTTCCGTTTCTTTAAACATTCACCTTCCATGTCTGCTGCTTCCCCTTCGTCATCATCGTCATCATCATTGCAGGTTGGGTTACCAATTGCTTTCCCAGAATCCTTGGGGATAAAAATACAATATGCACAATTAGGATAAAATAAAAAACAGGACAGACAAATGCACTGCATTTGTAAATAATCACTACACTGCATGTTTTGTGGGCTTTGTATGAGAAACATATAAATAGGATTGAAGTGACACTAAACTAAGGAATTAAATCCCAAAAATGCTTTCAGGTACCCTATTAACAAAAATGTATCTTATTTGTGTATCACTCAGCTGTAGATCCTCAAATCACCTCTGAATTGGTGCGGACACTGCCCTTCCTTCTGGAGGGTGTCTACTTTTCTTCCCCATGGTCCCTGTGTTCTGTATAGTAGTCATCAATCCAAGCTCGCTTCTGTAATGGACTACAGTCTCGCATTTAGTTTTCTAATTTGTATTGAGATTGTAGTCCATCCCGGGAGTGAGCTTGGAGCAGTGGCTACTTTACAACACACACAGGGACCATGGGGAACAAAAGTAGCCACCCTCCAGATGGAAGGACAGTGTCAGCCCCAGTTCAGAGATGATTCAAGGATACACAAATAAGGTAACTCCTGAGTTTAGTGTCACTTTAATAGAAAAACACACACCAAAAACAATCAAAGGGAGTCTGTAAAACTCTGCACAAAAGAACCCAAGGGTGTTTAAATAATTAAATAATAGATGTGGCAGCAGAAAGCTTTAACACAAGTTAAAATGTAAACTTTTTTTTTTTTAGTTACGCATGGTGTGGGAAAGGGTTAGTCTTTAGGGAGATTCACCCAAATTAGGGAGATTCACCAAAACAGAAAGTGAGGGGGAATCCAAAGTGTCTCTAGAACAAGAGGTAAATGGAAATCTTCCAAAGGGACCAATTGTTCTGGGGACAACTGTCTGAAAAGGGTATTCCCTTAACTCAGGGATTTCCTCTAACTTCTCCTTGGGTCTCCGGGACAGGAAGTAAACAGATATCTCCTCAATCGCACACAAACAGCAAACAATAAACTGGCAGAGGTTGTAACTCTTCCTAAAACAAAACAAAAAAATTGACTGTACAAATACTTTAAAAAGGTTACAGTTAGCTGCAATTAATGGTATATTTAAAGGTTGTTTTTTTTTTGTACTCATCACAAGCTTCACACAAACCTGGGACTCAAGGGTTATTTCTTTTACTGCCTCTGTTAGGTTGCCCACACCTAAAAAATAAATAGGGGGAAAATCAATTCAGCTTTTAATGATTTATTACATTACTTAAAAAATAATAGGCAAAAAAATGAATTAAAAATATAAGCGTAAAAAACTTGGCCATTAGAATCTAAAGGAGATCGGCACTCCGTAATAACAATGTTGAAGGGCATAGTTACACACTGAATATTCTGGGCTGGTATGGCCAACATATTTGACCACTGCCTAGTGGAAATCCATTCTGTGCCAAGCTGAAAGCAAACAAAATTAGGAGGTCTGTTGATAACACCTATACTACTTTAGGTAAATGTTTTCATAAGTTCTAAAACCTTTCTTTATATATGCAATCCTTGTAGTACAAATATACATTTAATACATAACAAATGATTCCCAAAGCACTATGGGTTAGCTAATAGAGCAGGGCAGCTTGCTTCAAATTGTGTTTAAACCCTCACACTGAGTCTGCCGATAAGGGATGGGTCACTCTTGTGATGATTCAATCCAGTATAAAACCACAATACATTCCCCTTAAGAACTACATCACATTTAGGGAAAATATACATTAGCTAGATGAAACAATATATAGAATCACATCAACACTTAACAGTCCACAAGGTAACTTTAGTGGATAGAGTTTGAAGAGTTGTATCAAACCTCTGACTGGGTACTTGGTCAAAATTGAGAATCCAAATTAAGAACTCTCATAACCCAGAAACAATTCGTATTGATTATATTTGCAAATATATGGTAAAGTCATACACCAGCTATAAAACTATTCTAAATAGCCTCTTCAGTGCTCCCCTCCGATTCTGGTTTCAGTTTGCTATGAAGAACTTATTTCCCTGACTTTGAAGCCAAGACCAATGATGGCACCTCAGTGGCCAATAAAGGAACTTACACACGACAGGGTGGTGGCAGTTGCTTAGCTTTTGAAAGAGAAACTCTGGCCCAAAGTCTGGGATATGTAGCCCTTGGGGCCATGTCATACAAGAGACCCTGTTGTTGGCGTCAAATCCCCAGGAAAAGGTTCGCCAAAACACTGCTTACCTGCTTATCCGGAGTCATTCCCTTGCATGATGTTGCTCCCTTCCTTCTTGCTAGCAAGGGGATTTAGTAGTGCCAGCAAATTAATAAGGGTAAGTGGGAGGCTCTGTTGGGATATTCTGCTGCTCACTTGTGCCATACCTCTTAGTAAGAATATCAAAGTAAGAACAGAATGTACTTCAGAAAAAAAAGTAACTCACTTTATAGCGCTTTCTGTTAAGGTGCCCATACACTGTACGATTATGGCGGGAAATCCCTTGATCGTATGATAATCGGAAAGTGTATGGAAGGTGTGCGATCGTTTCTACTGTACGATCGCACGTCTTCCGTTGAACAAGCAGGCTGGAAAACCCGCCGAGAATTGTTCAATTCTCGGCGGGCTAGTGGCGTGCTTGGTCGACAACTGCCGAACGGGCCTGTGTACGCATGCGCACACTGCCCGTTCAGCATTGCAGTCATCGGAAGCCCGCCGTACGATCTGCCTGTCCACGATTGGCAGATCGTACGTTTTTTAAATTACTTTACAATCCTTGCAAGACAAAAGTCTTGCGAGGGTTGTAAAGTGTATGGCCACCTTTAGGAAGAACTTTTAAATGTTAAAAAAAGGCAACAGGTTTGATTAAAAGCAAACCTATACCTCAGGGGTAGGCAACCTCAGCACTCCAGCTGTTGAGGAACAAGTCCCATGAAGCTTTGGAAGACTCGGACAGCCACAAGCATGACTGGGATTTGCCTACCCTGATATACCTAAATAAAAGTCTGTATGAACAAAATAGTTCATGTTAAAGTAAATCTGACAGCTGCTTATAAACTTGCCTTCCTTTCTCCTTCCCGCAGGAGTGAGAACAAGCCCTCTAATAATCTCAAAGCCAGAACTGCACTAAGGCATCTGGATTATGATTTAAAGCACTTCTTGGACTAAGGCATCTGGATTACGATTTAAAGCATTTCTTGCTTTAAACATACCTACTGGTTTTCCTCTATTGGAGAAAGAATATATGCATTACATGGATATATGTAAAACATTACATTTACAGGGAAAACACTAAAAACACTAAAAGGCAAAACATACCTGAATGATGAAATGTGTCAACCCAGCCACCATCTCCATCATCCTCTTCTATAATGGCCTCTTGCTCATCTGAATATTCCATCTGCTTACACCTTTTGTAACATGGGACTAAATACATAATAAATACATTATTGAACACTATAACTGTTGAAAATCATAACATTAAATCAATGCAAACTGCAGCTCTTTGACATTTAAATCAATCGGAAAACACATTGATAACATACGTAGGGAACAACTGTCTAACAAGAAATGTGTTCTGATGGAACAATTACTCAGTCCAATATGTGTTACTTAGCAGTATGCTCATCTAAGGGAGGCCATGGTGTTTTTCTTGTTCTCGGTGCATCTGCATATAAACTACTCTGCAGACATATGGGTCTAAATACAGCAATGTTTACACTGGCTTAAGCTTGTGATCACAGCTCACAAAGCACGTAGAAAGAAGATGCAGAGATAAGGGGATTTATGTGCAAATTGCTTGGTGGACATATTGAGCTAAATTGTTTGAATATACAGCATACCTAAACCAAAAGCTTTGTTTTTAAATTTGAAACAGTACAGAACGGTTAAACTCTGTGCTCTCCATATGTCCCATTAGTGGGATTTCCATTCATGCATTTCCTGTCTTGGACAGAGTAGGACGTGGGAAGATTTTCTACAAAGTGAGGAGAAAACTGCCCAGATTTTTATACGAACAGTCATATGAAAAATCTCATCAGAACATTCGATAATGCCATCAGCGACTTGATGAATATCCTTATTGAATGGAGTTTCCTCTAGGGAAACCACATTCACTGTTAGAGCATTCCGATCAGGTCCGCCTGTCAGTTTTTCAGGTGGATCTGATCGGAAGCCCGATGTTAGTCTATGGGCAGCTGGATCTAAACAGAAGGGTGTCAGTTTACATCCGGTTAGCCACCCACCCCAATCGTGCCGGATTGGGGTAATCTGATGTAAGCGGACACGAGTCAGTTTACATCGGATTCCCCATAGACCAACATGGGTCCGAGAATTTCAGTTTTTTTTCTCCATCACAAGATAGAGGGGAAAAAAAATGAACAGACAGGGATGTCACAATGGTGACATCCGTTCCGATCAGCAGGGGATCTGTGCACATATCCCTTCCTGATTGACCGTGTGAAAGGGGCCTTAGTATTTAATTCTAGAACATTCTGGAATCTATTTTGTTTGACACTACAGAGGAAAGTGATGATCATTTTGACCCCATTTATTGTTGGAAAATTGAATGCATGCTCTGAAATACATTTTTCAAATAATATTCTACTGGTGTGGCTGTGGCCAGCTTTAGACAGGTCTCAATGGAACAAGTGTCATCATTGGAAGATTTCCCCTCCTGTTCTGGTGACAGATCAAAATTTTGGAACATCCCTCACTAGATATAGTTAGTTATTATCCCTAAAGGTAACCCAGGCATTGATAAAAATGACTGACAAGGGTTCTAACACCTCACCACTTCCTTAATTTTTGTTTTCTTAATCTTGAGGAGAGGTGTACACATTAAGAACAGTTATACTTTGATATATGTCTCCTAAACCACGCCAGCATATTTATCCTAGTTGAGCAGTGTTTGACTACATGAACTCTGCCGTTTCTGGAAGAAATAAGACAGCCAACAATGTTCAAGCCATTTAGATGTTCACAAAGGATCGATAATTCGCTCAGCGGTTAAAAGAGAAATAAACCAATTCTTACTTCGGACTATACTTTTGGGTCACAGGAGTACATTTACTGATGTAGTTCTGAGATGCAAAATCAGTCGATAGGGGGCTACTGCCCACTATTGGCTGATGGCACAGAGCCGCACCATGGTCAAGCCAAGGCTTGAGGAACAGGGAGTTGAGGGGGGAATCCCTGTGGGGGCCAGTGACTGACAGTCATAACCATCCACTGGGAGCTGAGACCAAGAACTGGCTGATCAGTGGTCATGCGATAGGTCAGCTCTCATTTTAAGAGCTGGCATGGGACAGCCAAGCGTCCCATGCCAGCTCCAAGCATCAATAAGATCCCATTCACACTGAGCTACACCCAAAAAAGTGCTTTTTTCAGCACGATTTTGAGCTGAGCAACATTGAGCTAGATTGAGCTACAGTGCACATTTGGTAATCTTCAGGGCATGGTTGTTATCCTTGCCCGGGGGCAGTAACCTACTCTCAGGTGAAACTGTCATCATGCACCGGAACAGGAATGGAGCCCCAAGATAACAGTAAAACCAGACAGATCTCAATTTTAACCATTTGTAGGTAGGAGCAGGAATCATGATTTTACACATTCTTACCATTTTTCGTCACCAGAAACTGTTTGTCGTTAGGCAGATAAGGTTTCACTTTTGAGTCTTCACCTGCTGCCCTAAACAAGGTTTAAACACAAAACACAATCATGTTATAAAAGGGACAGGTTTTTATTTTTTTAGGCCGAATACAGACATAAAATGAAAAAAAAAAAATAAAAAAATGCATAGGCATCTGCAAGCACAGTTTTAATCTGCTACCTGCCACATGTTCTAGGTCTGGCCTAATTATATATATATATATATATATATATATGTTCCAGAGCCCAATCTTATTGAGGTCCCCTTGGCATGTCACGGGCCTCCCTGTGGCCCTCAGCAAAGAAGGATGAACCGTCATGTCTCAGAGATGCTGAACTTTGTTTGACTTCCTCTGGAAATTTTCCTACAGACACAGATGAACCACATGACATTTAGTATGGCTGTCAGGATTCTGTCTTTACATTTACTCTGCCCTTCATAAAAATTACCAATATACCAGTAGTTTGTAAGAATGTGCTTATAAACAAGACTTGTGTCTCCATAAACAAATACATGACTTCTTTGGCACATGCATAGCTGATTCACACAGATTTATACAAATTACAGAAAAGTGATTGATAAATTATTTAGTTTCTGCTCTCATTAATTGCATCTGTTATCAGTCAAGGCACAGTTCACATTAATTTTTCAACACACAAGCTGCCAGCACAGCAATCATAACACTGCACAAAGAAATAATTAAGTAATAAGTATGTGGAAAACTAGGGGGAGCCACTCAGAGGAGCCAGTAGGCACATTTGGCAGTCTTCTGAAGGACCCGGGTAGCCTAAAATCCAAGGCACTTTAAGCTAATACTAACTTTGGCATTGGTCAAGGAGGCTGCTTTTAGCTGGAAAAAAAACAACAACAAAATAGAAAAAACCCTACCCTTGCTATGGGGCACTCCACTGCACTTACTTCCTCTTTCAATGCTCCAGGTTGTGGATAGTCCCTCACTTACACATCAGAAGCCCAACACCTCACAATGGCAGCTGCAGCTATTTAAGGAGAAATGAGCTGCCACCTTTAACTTGGCCAATTAAGGCCTTTAAGTTGGCCATATACCTTACAAACTACTGTACAACTTTTTTTGCCCCGACCTCCCACCCTCGTTCAATCTTCATTCAAACAGCCCACCATGCACAGACCAATGTAGTTTGCGATTATCGTTCGTCAGCACCACTAACTGGCGGATTTTTGTCAATGGAAAGACCACATTTTCGTTTGTGGATGTGCAGTTTTCATTGTGGGATTTTTGTTGTAAAAAACACCACTAATACGTTGATTTTCATCCAACTTGACAAACATTTTCTAGGCTACCTGAAAGACGAAAAATCAGCCAGTTGTACAGTAATTGCGGTTGTGCACTTGCCATCAACTGGCCGATTTTCGGAGGAAAATGCGATTGCGGCCGAAAATTGTAAGGTGCATGGGCACCTTTAGAGAGTCAGAGTGTCCCAGAAGCAAAGATGTGCAAAGGTTCACCAACCTGTGAAAAGCTGCGTCTAAAAATTGTCAAACAATTCCAGAATAATGTTCCTCAATGTAAAACCAAAAAGACTTTAAATATATCATCATCAAAAGATTCAGAGAATCTGGAGAAATCTCTGTGAGCAAGGGACAAGGCCAAAATGCAATATTGGATGCCCGTGATCTTCAAGCCCTCAGATGGCACTGCATTAAAAACAGGCATGATTCCGTTATGGACATCACTGCAGGGGCTCAGGAATACTTCCAAAAATCCCTGTCTGTGGACATAGTTCCTTGTGCCATCCAATAATGAAAGTTAAAGCTCTATCATGCAAAGACGAAGCCATATCTGAACATGATCCAGAAACACCGTCGTCTTCTCTTGGCCAAAGCTCATTTAAAATCGTCTGTTGCGAAGTGGAAAACAGTTCTGTGGTCAGGCAAATCGAAATTTGACATTCTTTTTGGTAACAATGGGCTCCAGACTAAAGAGGAAAGTGACTTTCTGGCTTATCAGCGCTCTGTTCAAAAGCCTAGATATCTGGTGGTATGGGGGTGCATTAGTGCATCTGAAAAGGCACCATCAATGCAGAAAGATATATGCAGGTTTTAGAGAAGCATACGCTCCCATCCAGACAATGTATTTTTCAGGGAATGCCCGCTACACGATGAGAGCGCCGAAGCTGTGACTGATCCTGACAACGGTTGAGATCCACCCAGCTGGGTGATTGACAGCCGGCTCTGCCTCTTTAGAGGCAGAGCCAGCTGTGCCCGCATCCATCCCTCCAGTCAGCGCTGGAGGATCGAAGAGGTGTGCGGGGAATCCCTGTAGGGAGTGGTGGCTGACAGTCACCGCTCTCTATAGGGAGAGGATCAGGAGTGAGTGGATCGGCGGTATGATTTTGCTCACTTCCCGATCAATAGAGCCGAGGTGTGGCAGTTTCAATGTCACACTTCAACTTAACTATGAGGATGAGTGTTATTCAGTCACCCCACAATTCTCCTTTAACACAAAAGCATATCAAAGTGACATTATCCGATGAGGTTATTGTACACCAAACAGTGTCAATGAGCCCCATGCATGGCCAGTGTCGCTCTATGTAGTGCAATCATACCAACTTACAGTCATTTTAAGGGCCTGTGTTGACAGGCTTTTATTTGGTTGAAGCAGGTTTTGCATACCCACACAAGTCTATGGGAAAACAAAACCCGCATGAAGCAGGTGAAATGCATCAGTCAATAAATTCTGATTGATGTCAAAAAGGATGCCATAGAAGCAAACCCAAAGCCTGTCAACATGGGCCCCAAAACTGCCATGTTTGTACCCTCATGCCACACAATAGATACTCATTTACAACACATATTCAACCTCTCCTGATAAGAATGATGAGAGGAAAGAGCCATGAACTGCATAACAGGAAGTGTATATCCTGCCAAGACTGTTGGAGAAAAAAAATTAAAATGCAGAGACCTAGAATAAATCTAACAAGCAGTCTCGTGTATAAGTGCTGAGTGTTGATCTAGGAACAGATACATGAAAGACGTATCATATGACACATTGGTAATTTCAGTGCCGCAGTACAGACGTAATGTGCTATACTTCCAAGCCCAAGAAAAATGTTGGGCTGTATTTTATTAATGTGGCAGAGTCCTACTAATGGAAAGCACTTGCATCTTCCCACTCAGCACTACTCCCACCTTTTCTCCATCTTGCTTGATGCTGACAGTTGCACTTCCAGTCTGCTCATCTGGAGCAAGTGCAAGAAATGAGGAATGAGGGAAATGAGCCATGCTGGAGTTTCCTGCTCCTTCAATAAGTCTACCACTGGCAGAGTTGGAGGGCAACATTAGAGGTCCCTAGGCCAGTAAATGGATAGTGGTCTTCTTGTTTTAATCTAAAATAGGCTGCTATAATTTAAAAGGAAACTGAAGTCATGCAATTGCTTGAAACATTGTAAAAGGTTATTTGGTTGCAATGTAAAGCCCACTCATGCATAAAGGGTACTCTAAACTCTAAGCCAGGGGTCTCAAACTCATTTGACTCGGGGGCCACTTGACAATTTTTTTCTCCCATGGGGACCGGCTTGCCAAATTCCGTACATCAAAATAAAATGTAATTATATCCGGTATGGTACTACGGACCCCAATACACACACTGATCAGTTGACAGGAGTTGCATGTAAACGCCTGCACACCGCATGTAATGATATGTGATATGATAACATGCGGTTAGAAAACACTCTCCCTGGACAGGGGTAGTATTTATTTTATATGTGCAGTGGTAGCTTTTTTTTTAATGTAAAATATTAACCCCTCCCCACATAAAATGAAATAGAAATAAAATACACAGCCCCCTCTCCTGCTTACCTATTTGCAGGGAAGGGGCTGTGAGGAGCCACGATCGATCCCTGCTGCTCTAGTGGCGATTAGTGAGGTCTGCTGCAGACCTCACATACATTCTTTCGGCCGGAGTTCAGGATTGAGCTCCGGCCGAAAGGATCTCAGTGCCGGGAGGAGCAGCTCTGCGGTCTGCATCTGATCGAGATGCAGACCGTGTAGCTGCTCCCGCAAGTTAGGTATGCGGTCCGTGACCGCGTACCTGACTTGCCACCTGGCTGCGGGCCACATAGTACTGGCTCGCGGGCCGCAAGTGGCCCGCGGGTCGGTACTTTGAGACCTCTGCTCTAAGCTGTTCAGGTAGGGCTTCTATGCTTAAGGTAATGTTGGATGTTAAATCACGTTTGTCCATATCAACTTGCATGAAATAGAACAAAAGCAAAATAATTAACCACTTCATGCGGGCTCACATAAATACACGTCACCCGATTGAAGTGATTATACTAAGAACATGGCTGCTGCTGCTGTTTCTATACAATCAATCTACTGTCTGTAGTACGGTGCAGTGCTGTGTTCCCCCCCCCCCCCTTTGCCTGTGCCACCACCGGCTTCCCTGGGCTCCACTACCCCCAGTGCAGGCCCGGCAGGTCTCACCAGAAGGATCAGAGGGAGATCAGCAGGCGTCTAGCCGCTGACCTCTCCTCCGATCACTGATCTGGAAGTAATGTGTATTAGATCACTTCCGGTGTCACTGTGCACATTATCCCTCTTCTAGCTACTGTATTCAAGCAGCCTTGGGAGCATGGCTGCTTGAATCCCTGAATAATGACTGCAGCTAATTAGCTACAGTTACTGTTCAATCAACAACTTTTCGCTCAGCTCCTTCGATTTTTCATTCCAAGTTTGTTGAGCTGGGTAGTGGGAGCACCTCCCACAGATCACATTTTGGACAATTCACAAGATTAGGCAAAAATTCAAACCACGTATGGCCAGCTTTACCTGGAAGCCACAGCCTTCAGTGCACCTTTCCTTTAAATGTATTTCTAAATACTGCTGGTATATCTCCTGAAGATTATCTTTTTATCAACTTACCATGATTACCAGCACAACAAAAATGAGAATGGTGAGTGGCAACACTGAGAATAAGGCTCTACTGAATTACAGAGTGCTGTCATTCAAACATGTTCCAGGCAGTAGAGGTGTCTGGGATTAAAGTGACACTAAACTCAGGCATTCAATTTTAAAAATGCATTCAAGTTCCTTAACTATTAACAAAAATGTAACTTATTTGTGTATCACTCAGCTGTACATCCTCAAATCATCTCTGTATTGGTGCTGAAACTGTCCTTCCTTCTGGAGGGTGGCTACTTTTGTTCCCCATGGTCCCTGTGTGTGTTGTAAAGTAGCCACCACTCCAAGCTTGCTCCTGGGGTGGATTACAATTTCATGTCTAGTTTACTAATTAGTATAAAGATTTTAGTCCATCAAGGGAGCGAGCTTGGAGTTATAGATACTTTTTAACAAACACAAGGACCATGGGGAACAAAAGTAGTCACTCTCCAGAAGGAAGGGCAGTTTCAGCACCAATACAGAGATGATTTGAGGATCTACAGCTGAGTGATACACAAAAAGTATAAATTGTTGTTAATAGTTAAGGTACCTGAATGTATTTTGAAGACCAGAACAATCTGCCGTTTAGAGATGTTTACTCATAGTACACTTATAACCCTACATAGACTTGAAGCAAAGGTGAGACAGGAAGGCAAGATAGGAAGCTGCAAAGCTAAAGGCTCTAAATAGTCTCATCATTTGTATCTGTACAGAGTGGACAAAATGTGGGACCCACAATATTTCAGCAGCGCTTAACATGTATGTATTTAAATAATGCATCCTTTATTTAGTTCTGGTCTAACCTCTATGGTGAACACTGGCTGTACTGTATGCACAGTGCAGACTGCACTCACTGAGGTGTAATATACTGCATCTTCACCAAGGAGCTGTATGCATACTATCTCATGTGTAAAATCCAGCTCCACTGAAGAAGAGTTTCTTCAGCCAAAACTTTAAGTTTTTGGTACTCGCCGATACCAAGTACCGCTGCCGTGTTCCCACGATTATCAGGAAGTCGGGCGGCGGATCGTGACATGTTGCCCGGCTTCCCGATTGCCTGTGAAGCTGGTGTTCCAGCAAAAGAACACCGGCTTCACGACCAATCAGAAAGTCTGGTGGCGAGTCGAGTCAAGAGGTGCAGTCTGGCTTTCTGATTGGTCAGGAAGCCAGGCTGCCTCACAGGAAGCCAGGCGGCATGTCTTGACCCGCCTCATGGCTTCCTGATTGGCTAGGAAGCCAGCTTCACCTGTCATAACTCGCCTCCCGGCTTCCCGATTGGAAAGGAAGCTGGCTCCATGCTCTCTCGGCCCTGCCGGTCAGAGGGAAATCTCCTTCTGAACAGAAGTTCCAGTATCGGAGGTAAGTATGGAAGCACTTGGGCAAGTATGAGTACTTGCCCAGATACCCAGTATCGGCGCATCCCTAGTTATCAGCACAGCAAATGAGGTGAAACCCTCAAAGGCCTCAAACAATAAAATGGTCTGCAATAAAAGCCTAGCTAAAGGGATCAACATGCACCCAACCCACAGCTCTCAACTCTCCCTCATTTAGATGGACAGTCCCTCTGTCGTCCTCAGTTGCCCCTCTTTTTGGTCTAGTACAGATCTCTATAAAAAATCTACTATTTAACTACCAAAAGGGTTATGCTACACAAACCTTTCATCTAACCCCTATCTTGCATTTATCAATTTGAATATACCAATATACAGGAACAAGGGTTCAACTACTTATTTTTTTGCATATTAATTTGCCCTGGTCCGCATAACCAGACGGTGCAGTAGGGGTCCATTGACTACATACTTGGTGCTAAAAGGTGTCCATCTTTCTCATTTCAGAACTTTTGTAGGCAGGTTACACAACTCCCTTATAGATTCTTAGATAAATCTGCATTAAATAAACAGTACTGTCAATTAATTTTCACTGTGACCACTACATGTTCATTGGACACTTTCTTTGTTATGCATCAGGGCCCTGCTGTATTTTTTTATATTGTGTACTTTCCCTTCCTGTTTTTGGTATTGGTGGATGTATATTTCACACAGTATTTTTTCTCTTTCATATAGTAATAAAGATGAAAAGTTTTGTTTACTTTTTTGATATGTCTAAAGCAGTGTAATCTTAAGCCCTTTAGCTTTTGTTCCCATAAGCAATGACTAAGGCCCTTTGGAGGGGCTGAACCGTCTCAGCAAGTATCTGTATGCTGTTTTTATGCCGTATTAATAGTGTCTGTATTTGAAGAGGATCCATGGGATTGCCAGTTCCTTCACTTTTGCATTTGCTCTGGGTCAAGCAGAGACCTATACTGAGCACCGCAGTTCCTTGAGAACTTGGCTGAGGGAGTTGAGCAACTTTTTTCTTTAGTCATAAGTAGTAACAACCTGACAACATTTTTATCCCTTCCCCACTCTATCCAAAACTTAAAAAGGGTTTCAGGTTATGATACAGTTTAAGAAAGATCAGTTCACGGTTCACAAGGCCTAAATCTTTGGTGCCCAGTAGTAGCCTGTGAGCTGCATCATACTTCTGATGCTAGTGTATAGTTTATAGCTTTTATAAACAGTGGTGTTCTTAGCCAGAATTCTGCAACTCAACCCGGCTCTCACAGGGAAATAATTTATTTGATATTGATTAGGACAACAAAAAAAGTTATATAGATACACATTATATATATATATATATATGACACAATAAATGTGAAATAGTTATTTCTGACCAAAATTATATGGCGAGGACAGGAAAAAAAAAAAAGAATGTTCAAAAGTCAGTGTCACTTAACCTAGGGAAGAAATGAAAACTTACCACTGCCAAGTAGGACAGTGATGAACAAGATGATCACCAGCAGCCAGAAACTGTAATAAAGAACAGGGAAAATATTGCGGTTACCCACAATTCACACAGAACTTGTATTCTACAAGTCCCAATATTTATGTTTAGCAACCAAAGTCAAAATAAAGCACAGAATATGTCTTGCATTAGGAAGATGTGTAGCTCAACACCTCCACAAGTTGTAGACCAAAAGGAATGGGCTAGGTTTTTGACAGCCACCGACTGGTTTTAAACTTCATTTCAACTGTTGGAGCAAAAGCATATGATTGGCGGCTGTGGCCATATGTGGACAAATAAGGTTGCATGGCTTCCATAATATTACATGAACTAGTGGCACAGCTTCTGCAGCAGAAGATGATGTTTTAGGAGTAATATAGGAGATGAGCATTTCTTTCATCCTTGAAGAGGACTGGCCATGTATGGAGAAAATAACTTCAAATTTTGTGTGCAAACAACTGGCAGATGGAGTTTTGGGAATGTCATAAAAGGGACATTTCATGGACAGCAAATTTGTAGATGTTATATAATTATATCAGAGTTTTAATCTGTGATTATACACAGTACTTTGGGGACCGTTGTTTAACAGTAGGACTGAATATTTGAAGGAAGGACAGTGAAAAAAGGAAAATCTGCAAATTGATTTCCTATTTTACCTACTATTGTAATGGTCCAGGTTTTTAAAGGATTAGTGTTGTCTGATAAAAGATGTCCACATGGGGTCATGAGCTTTTCTTACAGATAAAACATTGGGTGATCCCACCTGTTTCCTTGAGAATAAAAGGATTTCCTGTTTGTTTCTGACCAAGCTGACCATAGAAACAGATCTCCATTAGTAGGGTCAGCTTGGTCCATTTGAATCCCGTCGTCTAATTAAATGTACAGGATTCCATACCAACACAAATGTCAAGCTAGCAGCACCACACACTGTAAGAATTGAAATTCCTGTGAATTGGCCACAATTCTTACAGTATACGGCCAGCATCTATAGATACAGGAGCAACTAATCAAAAGCCGATTAATCGATGATTGAAAAAGTTGACAACTTTTTCAATAATCGATTATAATCGATTATGTCGATTAGTTGTTGCAGCCCTAGCTGCTTTTACAAGTTTGAGTCCTGCCATGCTTTTTCTAAGAAAATGAAGCAACTTTTTTGAAATTTAAGGAAGTAAAAGCCATGAAATGGACACAGCAATTTGCAAACAGTAGAACTAGCAGATAATGGGGCTTTCAAAACACCAGATTACCAAAGACAAGGGAATTTTAGCATGTCCGGAACCCGGGCATACGACAACATATGGATAAAAAAAAACCCCCAATAAAGACGGAAGCATTGAGGAGGCCAGTTTCTACTAACATTTGGTTGGAATGTTCATTTTGTTTATTTTTTTCTGGAGAATACCTTTAAAAGAATTCAAATATCAATTTAATTTTAATTTCATCTGCTGTTGTGCCAGGAACAATTTTTTGCCAATGCCAATTTTTTTTCTAATTTTGGGTAGAGTATGAAAGGGTTGGGTTCAGGCAGGTTTTTATTGCTGTCTGGCCTCTGGTGACCATTGTAACTGGGACTGACAGTGAGGGAAAACAAGTTTAAGTTGTCATTGGGTCAGAAGTCTTCCAATTTGAACACTCAGGATTTCCCTTTGGAGAAAGGTATTCTCATTTCCTGCCATGTCTTGAGACAGAAGTGAAGGGAAATTTGCCCAATGCAAAAAAAAATGAAAAAAAGAACCACAGACAACAACATGCCAGGGATTTTGATCACCCTAGGCTGTTAAAAAAAAAAAAAACACAAGTAAAAAAGTTTGATATACTAAGTTCCACATTAAACATGGATGCGTTTGCAGAAGAAATTGCAGCCAGACTACGACACCTTTCTGGGTTTTGGTGCTGAATGCATTACTAAAACAAACCATGAACCTTGATTCGTTCATATCTTTTATTGGAATTTAAAAAATAAATACAAGATAATGGGAACAGAGATAACATGCAGGATACACTTCCAATGCATCAGTTTTCAGATGTTGATATAATTACTGTACATAAAATACAATGGATACAATAACTACATTCACTGTTAGAATTTCATCTGTTTAAGAAACATTTTACATCCTGCTACTTTTTTACAACAGTGGTGGAGAATGATCATTACTTTGACCCCATTAATCATTAGACAATAAAACAAATGTTGGAAAACATTTTTTCAAACAAAATAGTATTCCCTGCTTTAGGCTATAGTGTAGTGATTAAAGATATACAAGCATGGCATCATAATTGTTCGAGTACCGGTAGGTGTAATTGATCCACAATTGCCAGTGTGTAAGGGATTTGTCACATTTATCCAAAAGATGGCAGTAGGCTTTTCAATGAGGAAAATATAATTGAGTCTAGTCGTTACCTCACCTTTATCCAACAGAACACTTCCACGGCCACAAACTAGGTGACCAAAAATGTTAGAATTTAGTTCCCCTTAATCACCTTGCAGCAATAAAAAAAAAAAAAGAAATGTAAACGTGCTTTGTCCAGATTGAAGCGCCTATTGGAAAGCAAAGAACGTTACCATTTTCTTGCTTGTTTGCAATAGTTTTCATGACTTCTTGGATACCTTCACCCACAAACTACAACAATTAGGTCTATATGTAACATAGCCTGATGACAAACAGAAGAAGTATTAAAATATTGTCCCTGCTTACCTCTTCAGGGGTGATAACACCAGTCTCTTTAAATTTTGATTCCTATAGGAAGACAAATATAAGTAAGCAATAGGCAGCAGACATACGTGTACAAATGAACATTATTTAATATATA